TTTTTTTAAAAAAAACTTCACCATCAATAATTAATTAAAAAATTTTTTTCAAAAATTTTATAATTTTAAGAAATATTGAATCTCACCTGCAGTAGTAGATGATGAAGCTTTGACTGATCTCGTAGGTTTTGATGACGAAACATGATGAAATGTTCTGTGTTTGTATTCTTGTTGTTGTTGTTGTCGTTTAGTAGAAGTAGTATTGAACTTTGATTTGTTTCCTACAATAATATTTTTAGCATTAGTGGTCGATGAAAGAGAAGATGATGATTGAAATTTATTATTATCCGTGACACGTGTAACTGGGTCAGGAATTTTTGTAGGTGATATTAAGGATTTGAATTCAGTTTCTTCAGTAAGTAAAGAAAAATTTTCCAAAAGATTGTCAACTAATAATAGTGGATTATCTTTTGTATTGAGGTTAATATTTTCTTTTGTTGTAATGAGATTAACATTGTCAACTGTTGTTTTTAAATTAACGTTTTCTTTTGTATTGAGGTTAATATTTTGTTTCTTATTGTTAATAATATTTTGATTCCTATTGATAGATGTTAAAGAAATGGATTGACGTAAAATTTTTGAATGCGGTTGCTGCTGCTGTTGATAATCTTCAATAATACCAAGACTTTTCTTTTCATAAGGAGATAGCCTAGCCACAAAACTAACAGAAAATTATTTATTAGTGTCAATACTTTTGTATTCAAATATATATATGTGAGTGTGTGTGTGTGTGTGTGTGTATTTAACAAAAACAAAATAAAAACACTTACTTGTCTAATCTAAAATCAAATTTTGATTTATAAAAATCAAAAGATTTTCTAGATGCATTCTTTACAGCTGGCTCCGAGTCTGCAGCGCCTTTATGTATCATCGATTCCAAATCCTCAATATAATGATGGTTCAATCCATTAACATCAACAGTCTCCAACAATACTGAAGTCAACTGTGCAGCACTAGTTCTCATTTGTTTGTTTTGACTCTGCATTGCTTCTTTAAATTTTGGAATGAGACTTGGTGATTTTGAATTACGAATTATCGTGTCCAAACAATCATTTGCTCTTTTGACAAACAATTTGTTTGCACGATTGCAAAGTTTTAGAATGCTGGGTGCAAATATTTCAGTCAATGATTTAGATTTTGTACCAAGTGCTTTAAAGATTTCTTCAATCAAATTAATTGCTGTGCCAGATAATCTTGATCTATCTGTAAGTAACTTTATAATATAACACTAATTATTTTTATTTTTATTGATGGAATAAAATTTTTAAGACAACCAATTGAAAATTCTGTAAGTGTAATATATAAAAATTTTTTTCAA